CAATTTTAAAAGTTTATACAAATGCATGATGATGTGCTCTGAAATACATAATTTAGATTTCTTTGGATGGGAGAGACATAGCAGACATCAGATCATTCAGAATGGACCATGAAGTGAACATGCATGGTCTTGCAGTGCAGTTTATGTAGTAAACACCAGTTCTCTTCTTTTTTACTGTGAACATACAAATAATTCCAAACCATGATTTGCAGGGACYTTTCACACTAAGGCATTTTGTTACCAGCCCAGATAAATATGCCCAGATTGGCCTGTTTCTTCTGATTAATAGAATTAATCTATTAATAGAACTGCTGTAACCAGTGATCTCCTCATCTCTGGATACCTTCCACAGGAGTCAGACATCACCTCCAGTCCTTTCCTGAGGACAGCTCCTCTGACACATAATCTCTGTAGATGACCTGTTCAGACCCCGCCTCACCACTGACACACTTCAAATGTGTCCTGCAGGCTGACCTTTCCTTTTTCTAGTCCAACACATTCCATCTCTCCCTCTCTGCCCTGGAAGTGAACAGTGGACATTTGAAAAATTAATTTCTTCCCCAGCAACTGAATGCTGGTTTGGAGATTGTCTGGTGTGAAATCAGATGGAAGAGCTACAAGTAACTAAGAAGCACAGAAAATGTACAGAAATACTGTACATGGACACTAGAAGCTTTCTTCATCTTGCCTTAAGAATCCGTTTACCTTTTCCTAAGTGACGGAATGTGAATATTTGCATAAAATATTCCAACATTTGGAAATCACAAAACATATAGAAGAAGTTATATAAGAAACTGCACAAACTACTGGCAACAATTACTTTGCTTTCTCTCAGTATTACTGTAATTTTGATTGAAGTGCAATTCCTCAAAGTACCACTCATTATCTTAAAAGTTATCAACACAGAATTGATAGTAGGAGTAAACTTGTGCAGACTGCCTCTTGCATACACAAGTATTTACTGAGCCACCATGGAGGAAGGATCAGGTGCTGAGCATGAGATGCCAGGCAATACTCACAGAAACCGCCTCCAGAATTTGTTTAACAGCATCAGCAGCATCCCGTTCACTGTAGTACCCCTTTTCCACAATCCTGCAGAAAAAAAGCAACACCAACATTAATGTGAGTAAAAAGTGAAGGTAGACACTTCTTTTCAAAAATGAGATAGCAAGAAATCAAATTTAAATATGACCAGGACAGTGGACTGCTCCCAAGAGACTAGAAAAGAACACTTGTGCAATTTAAAAATTGATTTAAAATCGAATTTACCTTTTATTCCCAGTTAAATGAAAGACAGGAGGTAAAATACCAACTGCATAAGATGCTTGCAACATGTATGCATTCAGTTTGAAGCTTTTTGAACTTTCTGACACTCAAGGAATCTGAATTACTCTCAGARAAACCTACTCAGCACTTAGGAACTGCTTCTCCACTTTTATATTTAACTTAAGCTCCCCTCTCCAGTTAGTTATTTAATTAGTTAGCTATAAAACAAAAGCATTGTGCTATGCACACACAGATCTGAATTATTCAAGAGAAAGGGTCGGTGTGAAAATTTAATGGCTTTGAATTATCCCTCGAGTGTGATGGACTGAACAAATGGCTTTTTTCCTCCCATCAGAAAACTGGTGATGCTGTACTCAAAGAAACACAGTTTCATTTCAACTAAAGCTATTTTTTCTTTCAGAAAAGCTGCGTTTTTCTTACAGAATCAGCAGTGGCCACAGATTTGCATAATGGCATACAAAAAGTTAATAAAAGAAGGATCTATCATTAAAAGATACTAATACTCTATTTAAGACACCCAACAGTCTTTTTACTATAGTTTTTAATTGCGAACACTATTTGTGAATGACAATAATTCTCCCTCAGAGTTACTTTAAAGGTCAGACTTTTGATCTGAAATCTTGATATTTTTACCATATTAATTTTTTAAAGSCCAAGAAAACAGACAGATGTTGTCCTGCAAGCAGACAAGCCAGATTTATAAAATGATTCCGTGAAATTCCCGTGAAGCAGTACAGCAAGAAACTATGAATGTCTGATGYCAAAAGTCACTGGAAAGACTTCCTGCCCCAAGATCCATGAAAGGCTCTGCTRGTGGCAGGAAGGTTATCCTTCTTTCTCCCCACTGCTGCTGCTTTTCAGTGACTTTTCATCACGTCCTTTCTCTGAAATAACAGACTGATTTTGAATCACCATCAATGCAGCTCCACACAGCTTCACACAAGCTGACAGGAAAGGTGCTCACTAATGCACATGGGAAAAGCATTCCTTTACAATCATTAGAGGAACAAGTGATTAAAACAACGCAGAGATAGTACTCCACCAGAAACAGATGCAGCAAGTGTGGCACTGTGGAAAGCAGTCTGCACAGGAATGTTCCCAATCAGCTGCAATTACTTTGCACTCATTGTGTTCACAGAGAACCAAATCTATTCATGGGACATCAGCAACAGCAAGTAACCCCTTGCAGCAGCTCTTCTATTTCATCATGGTTTCTTTGCTGCACAATTGCTTGGGATTATTTCCAGAATGTTTGGGGTTTGGGTTTTTTTTTGACAACCCGCTAGCTGTCATGCCATATGCCATAACACCTTTGCTGTTTTTGTGCCTTCAGCCCTTCTCTTGTTTTGGTCATCTGTTTTTCCCATTAGGGAGAGCTTCACTGAACTCACCATCACAAGAGGAAAACAAAGCAAAGCTTGCTCATTGAGACATTGTATTAGGCTTTTAGTCTGAAGTACAGGAAAGAGGTTACAAAACACCACAAATTACACACTGAAGTGCTACATTATGTTTGAGGGTTAGATTACCCCTCCGCCATTTCAGGCTGAATTAACCTCTTCTGTTAGATTACATCGTGACACCTGGGCCCCAGTGATGCTCTTGCTTAGCTCTTCATTCCCCCAAATATACAGGCTTTGCTCCCTCCTCCCTTTTAATTCAAATGAAGTTTTTATTGTCAGCCTGTACCTGTCTGTAGCACCCATTCTGCCCCATGCATTGATGTGCAGGGTGCAGATGGCCTCAGAAAYGCTTGAGGCAGATTCTCAGGTGTCCTCATTATTGAGAATACTCTGATTTCCCAACACATCTCAGACTAACATCAGAGAAATATGCAGCAATGCAGTAAAAATTCAATTTACATTTCTCCCTTAATATAAAAAAAAAAAAATCTCTTTTTACAGTCTGGTAACACAGTCTTTGTTCTATCTTTTTCCAACACATAAACCAGAGGAGTAAAATCCAAAAATCTCTTAAATAATTCTATGTCCTCCAAAACAAAACAAAAAACAACAAAAAAAAAAAACCAAAAAAAAAAAAAAAGCTTCCTGTCAATGCCCAGCCAATGAAGAAAACCATTAATTACCTGAATGCAGGAAACAAGGGAAAAATCAAAGAGATGCTCAAAACTTCCCTCTTGACTTCAAGAGGAGACCTCACCCTGATTTAGATAATTTTTTTTTAATTTATATTAAACAAAAAGCAGAAGAAATGCACATACCTTGCAGAGGAAGCCTTGTAATTTAAACTTTAAAATAAATAAATGTAATAAAGCGTGGGGTCCTATTWCATGAGAGCAGTAAAAAGCAACTGTAGACATATTGTGTAATGCACTGGACCTGCCTGATACTGCTACATGTGAATGACATGCACTGGTAACCCAATTACAGCTCTAGTCACATGAAATTAGCTTTCCAGCTTTCCAGAAGTCTAGAACTCAGACTTATCAAGAATGGAAATCTTACTCTTAATGAACATCCAGCAAACAGAAAACCTAATCTTCTGTGATGGCTATAAACATATTCCTTTCTAAAGATGAACATTTRTTTCTAAGGGTACTTTGCTTTAGAAAGAAAACCTGGCTTTTAGGCAGCAAAGAGGAATATTGAAAGAAGATTACCCTGTAGTTTAGGTCATGTAGTAATGCTGGGGTATCATTTGCATATTTATTTTTTGCATCCTCCCTGTGATAGTTTACATAAGACAAATGGTAGGTGTGCCAGCAACACTCCTACCTGAGAGCAGYGAGTCTTCTTTAAAAGGATTTTTCAAATTCAGCCTTGCAGATTAACARTGACTCATTGCCCTTTTTTCTATAATGGGAAGGAAATCTGCAGAAATATCTTATTTCACTATTATTGAAGCAAAACCCAACTATTTATACTTAGGTTACAGAATGATCTTTAACAAAACCATGGGTGAATGAAGATTAAGCCTTTGCTGGGAGGACAGAAAGATAGGAATAGCAGCAATAAGGAACTAATTAAATATTCTCTTTGATATGCAAATAAAAGAGCCAGGTAGGCCAAAAGAGTGCTGGAGAGAAAAACTGCGAGGAAGACAGCAGGGAATTCAGAATTGCTTGAAGTTAAACCAGAAAAAAAGCTTGGAAAAACACTCAGTTTGGAGCTGTAAGAATCCAGGAAATTCAAGGCACAACTTCAAAATCAAGACATTCTAGAGCAAGCAAAAACGCAATGCTGATTTGTGCAGGATCACATTTTCATAGTTGTGCGTACTCATTTATTGAAACACACTGATCCAATTGCTTGCACTTGTGTGTGGTTAGACACACGTTTAACAGGATGTCCACTTGATGGACAGCAAGCCACAAGTGTCCTAAACCATCATCTGACTTAATCTTGCCTCTCATGTCAGCACATTTGAGACAAATCTGCCTCCTTCTATAGGGAGAAGCAGGGAAATATTTCCCTGAGTACCAGTTGGTGCCAGGAGAGAAGGAGATGCCCTTTGGGAGCAGCTGCAGTCCCACGGAGCAGACACAGCCCTGCCTGCCCACAGAAATCTGCATTATCCCGCTCCCAGCTGCTGCTGCCCAGAGTGGGGAGAGCCTTGCCAGGTAACGGGGCTGTAACAAGTTTAGCAGTGAGCAAAGCCCCCCTTAGCGTCACACTGCCTACCAAACCAGAAACAACATCACATGTTCCTGGGAATGCATGTTTTCTTATGTTTGAAATTTTGGCAGCTCCTTCATCAAACACATGTATGTGTTATATTTGTGTTCAAGTGTTTCATAGTTTGCACTAATCCTTGCCAGATTCCAACTGGCCTCTCCATCGTTTCCATCCMTTGTGAGCACTGGAAGTTTTCTAGCAGTACAAATTCCTCAGTTTTGCAGATGGTTTTCAGTGCAGAGTCTCTACCACGGATTTGCAGCTCTTACTATTTTGTTTATTAAGTTTCCATGATGCACATCTTCATCAGAGTCTACATCTGCAGATGCTTGAGTTCTTACCAACATTCACCACACCCCTGCAGCCTCCAGTGTAATTTGGCAAGAACACATAATGGATTTTACTCYTTTTGGGGCATTCTTCCTGGTACTGTGCTTTAATCTACCGTATCTGTGTGAAGCTATGGAAAGCAGTGGGATGTCCGGTCAAGGGAGGGAGGCAGTGGCCAAACCTGCTCTTCTGGTAGGAAAAAAAATCAAAAAGGAAGAGTGCAGTCCTGCTAAGCTAAACACACAGGATCTGAAAATCAATGAGGAAAGAGATGGGGAATCCCAATCCATCAATTTAGAATCAATTTTCAGAGGAGTATTAAAATTGTATTGATATACAATTTTACAGTTGACTAGAGCACAGGCATCTGGGGATGAATGATAAGCACATCAGGCAGTGAAAATAACCAACCTCCTACAAGAATGAACAAGTGAACATTTCATCAGAGAAGGAAAGGACCAGGTTTTGGGTTTGAGTTTTCAATGAGTAACAAAACAGGGTGCCAGCTCTGTCCAAGCCCAGAGAGAGAAACAGAGCCTGCACAGCTGCAGGAGTAGAAAAAAGACTCAAAACCACGCAGGAACCTGCTTTGAGCAAGGAGAGGACTCATCCAATGCCAGAGGATGCTAGACTGGGATAGTCACTGATGGCACACATCTCTTGGTGCAAGGCTGGCAGTAACTCAAATCCTCAGCCAGCACCGCTGCTGCTGTGACAGGGAGAGCTCTGAGCTCAGGCTGAGCAGGGGTGAATGTCCTTCCCCCCACCACTGAGCCATTCCAGGYCCTGCACTGTGGCAATATCTGAAACTTGCAACTGAGACCACTGACCCTGAGACCA